TGAGAGTGTTTTCTTCTTCACATGGATCATAACATATTCTACAAACAGCTTCCTCTTCAGGAATTTCTTCATCGCCATTCTCTAAGGTAACAGAACCATTTTGATCTGTTACATGGAATAATTAAAGTAAGATTCAATATACAATCTCGTTCGTGTTATTTTTTCAAATTTTTCTCGAATATTTTAAAAGTTTCAGCTCCATCGACCCCTAGATTACCTTAATTTCCTCGTTAATTTTATGAACATATTCACCTATAAAATTGAAAACTTGCTCATTTTACACGACTTAGACTGTAGGTCCGTACCATCTTAGTTGCCCCGAAACGGGTGGTCGTGATTAGAAAATGAACCGATTTCAAATATGATTCACAACCTCGAAGGCTAAATTAATAAAGATACTATTTTTGTTTCAAAAATACCCCATAAATTTTCAAAAGTTTCAATAATACTCTTAAAACTTTCAAAAAAATCTAAAAAATACCCTTCAGTATTTGTTTCAAAAATACCTTCAAATTTTTTTAAAAACTTTCATGAATACCTTTCTAACTTTTATTAAACAATTCAATTTTTTTGTATCATGAGTACCATGTTTAAAAAAATACCCATAAAATTTAAAAAGTAGCATTAATACCTTAACTTTATAAAAGAAATTAAAATTTTTTTACTATCAATATATGGACAAAAACAGTTTATCGACACTTCATAGATTATTTACAAACTTTTTAATGTTACTCTAAAAAGTTCTTGAATATTTTTTGAACGATAAGATATTTTTAAATTAAAAAAAAATAATTAAATGTATGTTTGAAGTTTTATTAAAAGTTTAAAGATATTTGGGAAGTTTTTTAAATTTTTTTTAAGGGTTTTAATGAAGCTTTGGAGAATGTATTTTTTTAAAACATTTTTTTAAAAGGATATTTTTTAAACTATTTTGAAAGTTAAGGGTATTTTTGAAACAAAGTATTAACGGTTTTCATCGAAAACTAACGGTAAGAATATTTTTTTTAACTTTTTGAAAGTTTAAGGGTATTTTTTTAGACGGTTTTGAAAGTTTAAGGGTACTATTAAAACTTTTAAAGGTATTTTTGAGATAAAGTGCAAAATTTAAGGGTATTTTATTAAAACAAATACATGCAAGATTCATAATTATTAAAGACTCTAAGGACCTAATATATATTATACATAAAATTGCAACCTGTAATAAAACCATGCCTCAGCTTCTATGGGATGTGAAGGGTGGGCATAGAATAAAGCAATATTTAAACTAGTAATGAAGTTGTAGGGTATAAGGACTTGTACCAGAACTGCTACTGGCCTCTGAATTTGCCTTAGGGGAAGCAAAAGATGTAGATCGTATTATAACGATATGTCTACCGGGCATGGATAGAGACCTCGAAACTGCACGTGCTGCTACTTTCTGCAAGAGTTAAAAACGAAAGATCAAATTATGGATCTGAATCAAGCAACATCGTCGTAAACATTTCTATTGAGTACTAAAAGTGTAATAGCCTAAGTCCACTGTTAGCAGATATTGTCCGCTTTGGCCCGTTATGTATCGCCATCAACCTCACGGTTTTAAAACGTGTCTGCTAAGGAGAGGTTTCTATACCTTTATAAGGAATGTTTCGTTCCCCTCTCCAACTGATGTGGGATCTCACACTCCACCCTCTTGGGGGCCTAGCATCCCTGTTGGCACGCTGCTTGGTGTCTGACTTTGATACCATTTGTAGCAGCTCAAGCCCACCGCTAGCAAATATTGTCCGTTTTGGCTCGTTATGTATCACCGTTAGCCTCACAGTTTTAAAACGTGTATGTTCGGGAGAGGTTTCTACACCTTTGTAAGAAATGTTTAATTCCCCTCTTCAACTGATATACGATCTCAAAATCCACCCATTTTGGGGACCCAATGTCCTCACTGGCACACCGCCGGTGTCTAACTCTGATATCATTTGTAACCGTTCAAGCCCACCACTAGTAAATATTGTCCATTTTGGCTCGTCACGTATCGCCGTCAGCCTCACGATTCTAAAATGCGTCTGTTAGGGAGAGGTTTCCACACTCTTATAAGGAATGTTTCGTTCTCCTCTCCAACCAACGTGAGATCTCACAAAAAGTCTAGCCAGTTTTGAATGATGAAACTTAAAAAACATGGAAGTTTGTAACACGAGATAACTCACACGTGGAACTGGCTTTTCATTAGTTGTGGCGGGGCGGGGTATCGACGGGGACAAGTTTGAAGCTGGAGTAACTGGGAGGGACGAGGACTTTGTCCAAGAAAAGGCTGATGATGCGATAGCCATTACCGGACTCTCAGCAGTTGTACTCGGGTCCGAACATAGGAGCGAACTCGTCTCACCTTCAGCAGCAATGCCTTTTCTCTTAAAGCTTAAAGCTCTTAAAAAGCTTACAGGAGATAAAACACCATTGTTGGAACCTAGAGATTGCAGTAAACCTTTTATGCCACCCATCGGTCTCGAAGGTACTTGAAGTGAGATATCGGGGCGTCTACCGCTATGCCGAGTATCTGATATCTGTTCATTAACTGGTTTTACATTCTCAACATCTTCCTGCTTATAACAAACACATACAAATTCAAGTTAGATTCATCGACTATCTAAGATTAAAGCATTGAATTGGCTTAAAGGGCATGCTACCACGTCACGAAATATAAATTCGAAGTACTTTTACAGTTTCCCTCACATCTAGCATATCACTCAACTAATCTCTCCTCCGAGAGACCTACGTGAGTCATCCCGTAGCAATGGCATCCCACTTTGCCACGCCCCGGGGACGAGAATCAGTCCACGAGGCCGTGATTTTATCTCAAACATTCATCCATTCACCTATTTCAGTTTATTTCAGTTATATAGATATGATTATCAAATAGATTTGACACGTTTCTTGTAACAGCCTCAGTCTACGGCTAGCAGATATTGTCTGCTTTGGTCCGTTACGTATCGCCATCAACCTCACAGCTTTAAAACCCGTCTACTAGGGAAAGGTTTCCACACTGTTATAAGGAATGTTTCGTTCCCCTTCCCAACCGACGTGGGATCTCACAAATGATGTCAGAGTCAAACACTGAGCTGTGTGCCAACAAGAACGCTGGTCCCCAAGGGGGTAGATTGTGAGATCCCACATCGGTTGGAGGGGAAATGAAACATTCCTTATAAGGTGTGGAAACCTCTCCCTAGTAGACGCGTTTTAAAAATCGTGAGGCTGACGGCGACATGTAACGAGCCAAATCGGACAATATCTACTACGGGTGGGCTTCAGCCGTTACATTCCTGCAAACGATTAAGATTTTCTAGATCTAATTTATGATACATAAGCATTGTCTTTAAAATAACAACAGGCTAGAGCAAGAATTTGATACACTGTTCAAGATCTACAAAGTACCAACAGTATCAACATGAAGAAAACTCCCCCAAAAAAGAGACAACTATAGCCCCATGCTTAGGGATACCACAATAATTCATCACAAATTAAGCTGAAAAGAAGAAACTCAGTACTCGCATGAATCAAAATCAACTATCAGTCAGCACTCGCATGAATCAAAATCAACTATCAGTAATTTCTTGTAATAATTGTAAATAACAATCTGGAAGAACTCGGAAGAACACGACATTGTTAATCGCAGAGCTCTAAAACAGCAGAGAAATTAATCTTAAAATCAACTAAAAAAAAACGATCAAAATACAATAGCTGAAGACGAAGATGAAGAAATCAAGATTTGGAAAATTAAAATAAATAAATAAATAATCTAACCTCTTGAGTAATCTCAGAAATCCCATCCATAAGTGGCTGAACCGACGCCATTTCTGTTAAGCTCACAAGAGCTTCAGCAAAAGAAGAACCCGAAAATTTACAGAGAATTCCGAGCGGAAAGAGAGGGAGCGTAAATAGAGAGGGAAAATTTATGGATTTTTTTTATTTATTTAATTATTATGTTTTTTTTGAGTAATAATATTATATTTGAAGACCGAGAGAAAGACCAACAAAATTCTGTTCGTAGACGGTTGTCTGGGACTCTGACGTGACAGGTGCTTGTTGGAACCTGACTAAGAAAGTGGGCCCAATGGCCCATTTAGTAAATTGAAGCGATTGTGGGCCCATTTCGCCACAAGAGGCCCAATTACGCATTTCTATGCGTGGGCTCCACGCGCTCACATGGTCCTTTTTAAACCGACTTCAATTGACTCGCGTTGACTTGTAAATAAATGGGGAATGTTTTTTTAATATTATTTTGTTTGAAAAATTATTTTAGGAACTCCAAATTTGAGTTAGTTGAGATGTTCTTTTTTTTTTATTATTATCTAAAAAAATTATATATTTATTTATATTAATAACTAAAATATTATATAATTTAAATTTCAAACATACGCAAGTCACACTATATCACTAATATCTGTTACAAACGTTAAATATTCATAGTTTGGATTGTAACTTTGTTTTCGAGTTGGTTGGGTTGACCAAACTAAAAGAAAGTCAATCCATGAACCAACTGGACATTTTCGATTTTTCAAAAAAAATCTAACCCATCTCAATAATTTTAGCTCGATAATCTAAATTGATTGAATTTTCGGGTCATCAAATTTAAATATTAGTACAATTAAAAAAAACTAAAATTAATAACTAAAGACAATTATTTTTTTTTTAATCAAAGTTTTTAATTATATATAAATTAAATTTTATATTTAGGAATTTGGACACAAAATTAAAAATTTAGGATGAGGGAGAATTAAAAAAAAAATTATTAGATACTTTTTAAATTTTTTGAAATTAATAGACATAAATTTTAAAAATTTATTAGAACACTTTTGAAAATATTTCACAAATATCCGACTTTTAAGAATATTTTAAAGTATTTTTGAATTTTTTAAAAATTATTTTCTTCATCCATATGGGCCAGATTGTTTGGGCCTTAAAATCTCCAATCCGTAGTTGTTGGGCCTATTTGGAAACGCCGTCCCTAATAAAATCGATGGTTGTCGGCTGAGAACTTGAGAACGGAAAATAACAAATTTTCTCTCTGAAGCCGCTGGACGTCGCCGCTGTTAGCTCCGTAGCTTGAGCTCTGTAAGTATCTCTGAAGCGTCGAGGCATAAACCACTCTGTTTTCTTTTGGAAATTACAATGGATTCCGTTTTATAATCATGTTAATGCGTTTTGTTTTTGGATTCTCAGTTTAAATGAAGTTTCTAGGTTGGTATGTGAAGATTGGGACAGTTTCGGCTTTGATTGGAGCTTCCATGGAAATGTTCATGATTAAAACGGGCTTCTGTGTGAGAACTCTCCTTCTTCTTCCTTATTCCTTAATTCACCATTTGAAATATTTTTCTTCACTGTATTTAGTTGATATGCTTGTTGTAATGGTTTTTTCGTCTTCATTTAGGTCTGTCTTTCGATAAATCTTATAGAATTGATTCGCTACGAGGATCTGAGGTGTTTGGTTAATAGTTCTTTACAATTTTTTTATGCTTTATGTCTAAGTAGATTGAAGAAATCTTGCTTTTCAATGAATGTCCACTAACGTTAGATTTTTCGTGTTCGAGACCACGAAGTAAGTAAGTGGTATTGAGTGGAAATTGTAACGAGCCACATGCTTCATGGGAATTCCCAACAGTTGTGGCAGCTGCTATTAATCTAACTGATAGTGATAAAACGTATTAGAATCCTGGATGTGCTTTCTTCAAATGTTTCATAGCTCTCCTAATTTAGTCTTTCTTCTTATTGTCTGAGTTGTTTCTACATATTTCTTGATTTGCCTCTTATTCTTCTTGTCCAAGTTCCTTATTAAAACCATCTTCTCTCATTCAAAGAAGGGAAGGTGTCGACAACTTGGGCACACAACTCAATTGGTTAACACATTGAATTATCGACCAAAATGTCAAAGGTTTGAATTCCTGCCCACATTGGTGTGTCATATCCATGAAAAATGCAGAAATTCCGAGCCAGCTCTTCATGACTTACCCCTTTGCCTATAGTTTATGGTCTTCATGAAAGGAAGCATTTGAATGGGCCATGACCCCAAGCTGCATTCATGACTTTCTTGCACTCATTATGTTGGGCCACCCTTTCAGAGGAGAGAAGAACAACAAGTATACAAGCTAGCAGTCTCCCACTATCTTAAACAACTGGAAAACTTTCTTGTAGTTTTATTTATGGGAAGGGGTTTAATAAATGTCATGTCATTTTTATCTAAAGAAACGAAAAAGTTAGCAGCCTCCTAGATGAGCAAAACCACTAGAATCATCTGAAATCTTTCCCACTGATAAGAGGAGAGCAGATAAAAGACTTAAACCGCCACAACCCACCAAACAAACAAGCAAAATCAGCAAAGCTAGTTGAGAGTGGGACTCTTCAACCGGACTAGAACACCCATACCAAACCAACCAAGGCACTGGAGAACCTTAAACCTTGAGAGACAAACACTTTTCTTTTTTATTGGATTCTTAAATATAAGAAAGTACTGATTCATTGGTGCATGCACACGTTGAGATTGATTTAATTGTAAACACCGTGAATCAGACTGAGCCTCTTTCTTCGTCCTCTGTTTCATGAGAAAGGAAAAATTTTGTTGCAAGCTGGGGCGTGTGCCATTGTTGGGGGTCTTTGAGGAGAAAGAAACAATAGTATTTTTAGAGGATATGAGAGACCTTTGAATGAGGTTGGGCCCTGTACTAGGCTCGATGGTTCCTTCTAGGCGTTTGGGGCTAAACCTATTGTAATTATTTATTAGGTCTTGTTGGATTGGAGCCCGTTCTTGTAGGTTACCTCCCTTCTTTTGTGGGCTCGTCTTTTTTGTATGCTCTTGTATTCTTTCATTTTTCCTCAATGAATGTTCAGTTATTCATTAAGGAAAAATACTAGTTTTTTTTTTTTTAACAAGTAAGAAAGTACTACTTATGAGTAATAAGGAAGTACTGATTCAATCGCGCTCTTTTGAAGTCAGTTTCTTGTTTGATGGCCTGTTGATTGGTATATGATGTTGTCTCTATTTTGCCTTTGCATCATCAGATGATAAAGTAACAGTTTTGGAATCGGAGAAGATAGCTTGGGAAAACTCGCCTGAGGCTCAAGCAATTAGAGAAGCCCTTAATCCTTGGAGGAATCACGATGCTGCTGAAGAGGCCAGGAAAGACACCTAATGCTTCAACTGTTGACCGGAGTAGCTGCTTTGCAAGGTTTGTTCATCATTCCATCCTTATAATCAGCCTAACTGAGGTTCGAATCATTTTTTGGTTTTTTTTTTCCCACCCAAAATGGATGTCTGACATACTGTTTAAAAATTTAAAAACTGAGGTTGAGATCGGCATTTTGAAAATTCAACTGCTTGACAAAAGCTATAGAAATCAAACGGAATGCACTGAAACCAACAAAACCTTATTGAAAGTATACTGATTAGATTTCTGCTTTATACCTTATAAAACCAAACATTGCTGAAACAACGTTAGAAATCACAACTCTCCACAATAGTATGATATTGTCCACTTTGAGCATATGCTCTCATGGCTTTGTTTTTGGTTTCCCCAAAAGGCCTCATACCAATGGAGATGTATTCCTTACTTATAAACCTATGATCAACCCCTTAATGAGCCGATATGGGACTCCTCTCCCAACAATCCCCAACAATCCTCCTCTCGAATAAAGTACACCATAAAGCCTCCATTGAAGCCTATTGGAGCCTTCAAACAACCTCCCTTAATCTAGGCTCGACTTCTTCTCTGGAGCCCTCGAACAAAGTACACCATTTGTTTGAAACTTGAGTCACTTTTGACTACACCTTCGAGACTCACAATTTCTTTGTTACGATATTTAAGGATTCTATTGACATGGCGGTTCAATTAGTTTTTTTAGGTTTTTTTTTTCTTTCTATTCTAAGGGCCCCTATGCCTTGACTCGATATTCGAGTGAGCTTGTTTGATTGCCTGGTTTCTTATACAGAAAAACCACGAACTTTTTAAAACAAACAAACAATGCCAATGTTGTAGCAGGAAAATCAAAATGTACGAATCAAGATTCAAAGTGGGATCAACAATGTTGGAGTTTGATTTGGAACTTTCCCCCCCTTTTTTATAGGAAACTTAGAAATATATATCACTTCAAGGAAGAAGATGAGAGAACAACTTAGGATCCAGGAGTAAATGTGTGAAAAGTTAGTGCAAACTTAAATTAATTTTCATTAGTCATTTTTTACTTATTAGAAATGAATGTTAGCTGCACTTATGGCTTGTAATTAGGAAAGATGTTAGTTGCACTTATGGTCCATAGGTCGGTCTAGTGATCATTGGAGGAAGTAATGGAAGCACGATGATTATAAAAAAATGAGATCAAATCCCATAAACCTACCTAAGATATCACAAACAGGTGAGTTTTTTGATTACCAAATTTTGCTAGGTCAGGTAGTCAATATACATAGTCTAGTTCAAACGCGCACAAATTTTTTATAATCTCTTATAAAATGCTAAGTAACTGTTGCATTTGAAACAACTCTGACCCATCAAAACTTCTTAATGGAACCAACTTTGTGAAGGAAACAACTGTTAAATTCGCGTCCCATGAGATTAGTCAAGATGCACGTAACTAGGTTTAAGAAAGACATTTGAAAACAAAAACTACTCATTAAAGCTCTGGTTGAACAAAATTTCTTCCTAACTCTCAATTTGGCCTTCCAAACCACGTTGATTTCTTTCTAAGTCTAACCATAAGCCCCAAACGAAGACTCTGACCTTGTTGATCCATAAGACTTTAACCTGCATCCACATAGAAGACTATCCCATGAACAACCAAATCACTGTAACACTGCCGCCAAAATTTTTCTAATGAATGAACAATGAAAGAACAAATTGTGGCTTTAGGATATTCGAACTTCAAACGAATATACCTACAATGATCCTACCATTGTTTTTAAGACATGAACCGACACTCTGTTCATTTACATCGGTATACAAGAACTCTCTTCTTACAAAAATCCTCATTGCCACAGTATTTAGCGGTTTCTTCTTGTCGGTTTTGCAGGTTGAGAACGAAATTACAGGGGAGCAGGAGATACGAGCTCAGGCTTTTAAGTTTCACCTAATAAGATGGGGTATTTTAGAAAGCTGCTTCTTTATGACATTGGAGGTCTTCTTATGATTGATTCCATATTAAAGTCGAATGACATCACCAAACCAAAGGTCTGATAATTCAATTCAATTAACAATCTCTTATGGTAGAAATGACAGATTTTCATATAGTCTGATACCCATATTAGAGTTGAATCATAATCCCATATTCAGGACTGTCATTCTAATTCAACTTAACTCATCATGCCTTCTGGAATATAGTCCTTAGGTTGTTATACGTCGTGACTCGAAACCTACCAGATGATTTGACTATGCTATGCAGTACACACCATTGTTGAAAATATTTCTTAGGTGAAAGAAAAAGAATGTCTAACAATCAGCCTGAATCTTATTTTGGTCAAACTTTCACACTATCCAAATTTACTTTTTACTTACTACTAATATTGTCTTCATTCTTTAATTTATCATGAAACCTCATTTTGGTCTTTGTAGTGCGTTTTGTAGAAAATCTTACATGATACTAAGTGGACTAGAGTCTTTGATCAGATAGTAGTTATATGTATATATGCTTATGCCATGTAAACACGTAACAGTAGGAATAAGAATAGATTATTGTGAACGAGAATCTGCTCGGAATGACTTTTTAAAGTCTTTTCTATTATAAAATAGTTGTAACGGTCGGTGAATATGTGTAATAGCTCAAGCCTACCGCTAGCAGATATTGATCTTTTTGGCTTTCCCTTTCGGGCTTTCATTCAAGGTTTTGAAACACGTCTGTTAGGTAGAGGTTTCCACATCCTTATAAGGAATGCTTCGTTTTCTTCACTAACCGATATTGTATCTTACAATCCCTACCCCACTTGGGGGTCCAGTGTCCTCGCTGACACACCACAGCGGTGTCTGACTCTAATATCATTTGTAAGAGCTCAAGCCTACTGTTAGTAGATATTGTTCTCCTTAAGCTTTTCCTTTTAGGCTTCCACTCAAAGTTTTAAAACATGTATGTTAGGGAGAGATTTTTACACCGTCGTACCGAATATTTCGTTTTCCTCTCCAATCGATGTGGGATCTGATAAGAAATCCGTTACCGAAGTTAGAATCTTCCACTAGTTTAGGAAAGAATGACCTAGAAGAAGGTCCCATTTATTCTCATACATGGTACAATTAGACAAAGACAGCCGTTGGCCACCCATGTATCTCCACTTATGGCTAAGTGGGGTTTGAATCGATTCGATTTGCCAAGAAAGAATCCGAAAGATCAATGAAGCTCTTAGTGTGAAATCTTGGCACCCAAATTCATCCGTCATTCTAGAAGTTGGTTGGAGTTTGGTCTTCTCTCATTTACTGTCAACTAACAAAATGGTTGAAGAGGATCATCTATATTCAACCAAAGATTCTCCTACTTTAGATCATTTCCTTGTTTGATTAGGTTCGAGTCAAACTGTTGTCTTTAGCAGTGATATTGCTTTTAAGTGGGTGCAATTGGTTCGATTGTAGATGTTCTTGCAGGTAAGCCTATGGTTGAGCGGTTGGTCAAGGCATTGCAGGTACTTAAGGTCGGTTTGCATCATGAATTTTGCCATTAATAGCCTGATTTGTTTCACATTTGTTTCACATTTGTTTCGAGAAAGAGAAAGATAGGAAAGATGCCAAGTCCCCCTCCCTCCCCCCGGACACCTTAGACTCCTTCGCCTCCTGAGATGTCGGGAAGAAAAAGTTTGAGGTTAGGTTGGACGCATACATCTTGGTATTTCACATTTAAAATTTAGGCTAATATTATCTTGAAAACTTAAAATCGATCCCATCTAGGTTTTCTAATACCCTTTATGCATGTGGGTTTGGATTCTATCCTAATTAATTAATAAACTAATATCAAGTAATAAGTATTTTTTAAGTAATTATTAAATACCATTATATTATGTAGTTATTAAATTTTAATTAATAGGTTTTTATACTTTAAAATAAATTTTGAGTTAGTTCCCACGTTTGAGTCGTGGTTCATCCAAATTTTGACTTTTTCGAGATTTAGATAGTTAAACCTAAAGTTTGACATTTCTTGAGCTCATCTCAAAGTTTAAGTTTATTGATTTATCCGTTCGTAAATTCAATTTTAGTATATTAAAATTAATTAAAAATTAACAACGAGTACCTATAAAATTGAAATAAAATTAAAATTTAAAGAAGATTTTTAGTATTTTAAAAATTCAGAACCTATCAATAATGGGAGTTGAAAACCTATGGAGTATGAAAGGATGGAAAAGTCATGGAATCCCACTGAGTTTCTTCAACTAGAAAGGGACCAGCTATTTTTTTTTTATATATATAAATATTTATCAAAATTGTGTGGAAAAATACAATATATATATATATATATATATTTAATTGTAAATTATAATAAAAACATCTATAAAATATTTTTTTAATTAATTGTAAAAATCATTTAAAACATATTCTTTGAAAGAAATCGAACGTCATCGTCGGCAGACCTAAGATGTTTAGGTGTTTGAAATTGTAATCATTTAACCAAAAGGAAAAATTAAAAAAATTAAAAAATAAATAAAAATTAAAATAAAAGGAAGACTTTGCGTTTATATTAATCGACCAATCTCTTTCCTTTTGAGATTCATCTCATATATTTTCTCTTTGATTTGATGTTCAACAAACAACTTATGAGGCTTATCATTTATGAACTTAATTTTGCATTAAGTTTTATGAAAATTTAGGAAAAGTCGAGTCCGATCGATCAAAAGTCAACATCAACCATCTTGGTAGAAGTTTTTTATTTAAGGAAATGACGGTAGATTTTTACCTTTTTCCGGTAAATTCCAACATGTGGGGTGTATTTTTGTCGATGGTATTGTTCATATGGGTGAAATGACTAAATCAGCTTATCTTTCTCATCTGTTAGTAGGCCTTTTACGTATCTTCGTCAGCCTTACAGTTTCAAATGTGTTTGCTAGAGAGAGGTTTCCACACCTTTGTAAGAAATACTTTGTTCCCCCCTCCAACCGATGTGGGATCTCACAATCTACTCTCTTGGGACCAGCGTCCTCACTAACGCACCGCTTAGTGTCGGTCTCTGGTACCATTTGTAACAGCCCAACTCCACCACTAGCAAATATTGTCCGCTTTAGCCCATTGCGTAGCACCGTCAACCCCACAGTTTTAGAGCACATCTGTTAGAGAGATGTTTTCACACCTTTATAAGAAATGCTTCGTTTCCCTCTCCGACCAATGTGGGATCTCACACTATAGGTCAAGCATACAACCAAAGTCTTACAATAGCGGCACGAAAGAGAAAGATCACGAGTATATAAGTGAGAGATAATATCTCCGTGAATATGATGTATTTTTGGTGAAATAAAATAAAAAACAAAGCCAAAAAAATATTTATATTTAAAATATAGAGATACACGGAGGTTGGGAGTCTGTAGTCCGTGATAAATAGTATCAAAGCTATACATCTGACTTAGCCATGTCGGTAGAATCTTTAGGTATTGAACAAAAAAGTTATGAGCCTTAGAAATTATAGTCATGTGGAGATCGATTCGAGCTTTCTATTGAACTAGCATGTACTCGAACAAGTGGAACAAAAAGGAGCTACGTAAAAATCGGGTTTTTATTAATAAAAATAGAAATTATAAATATATGTTTAATATTTTTAATAATTTTAAACCTAAAAAAAGTATCTCTCTCTAGCACTAAAGAAACAAAAGAAGTGGATAGGTGACATGAAACCCACCAACAAATTCAAATGTGAAGCAAGATCCCAACCTACCACCCTTTTCAAAAACCCACAATTCTCCATGACCAAAAATAAAATAATAATAATAAATAAATAAAAATTTAAAAAATGCTAAAAAAAATTATTACCACGTAGAAGAAGGGTGTTTTGTTCTCCTCTCCAACCAATGTGGGAGGTCACAATCCATCCCCCTTCGAGACCTAGCGGGATGCTGACAGTCGTTCCTTTCTCCAATTGATGTGGGACCCTCGCCAAATCCACCCACCTCCTTCGGGGGGCAGCGAGAAGGTTGGCACATCGTCCGACGTCTGGCTCTGATACCATTTGTAACGGTTCAGACCCATGCGTAGAAGAAGGGTGTTTTGTTCTCCTCCCTAACCAATGTGGGAGGTCACAATCCATCTCCCTTCGGGGCCTAGCAGGACGCTGACACTCGCTCATTTCTCCAATTGATATGGGACTCCCGCCAAATCCACCCACCCCCTTCAGGGAAGGGCGAGAAGACTGACACATCGTCCGGCCAAATCCACCCACCTCCCTTCAGGGAAGGGCGAGAAGACTGGCACATCGTCCGCCCAAATCCACCCACCCCCTTCGGGGAACAGTAAGAAGGTTAGCACATCGTCCAGTGTCTAGCTCTGATACCATTTGTAACGGTCCAAATCCGCCGCTAGTAAATATTATCCTCTTTGGGCTATCCCTCTCAGGCTTACCCTTAAGGCTTTAAAACGCGTTTGCTAGGGAAAAGTTTCCACACTCTTACAAAGGGTGTTTTATTCTCCTCCCCAACTAATGTAGAACATCACAATCCACTGTCACCCCGTTATTTTTTAAACAAATAATTAATTATTTTCATTTAAAATTAATGGTAAAAATATTTCTTTTTAATTTTTTTAAAATTTAAGTGTATTTTGGAAACTTTTAAAAGTTTTAGCAATAATTTTAAAAATATTTTTAATAAAAAAAAAAATATAGTGAATGCCTTGTCACCATCTTTATTTAATCCCTTCCATTTCAGCAACAACCCAATATAAAAACATGCACAAAATTGAACTTTCTCCACATATCTCAACTCAACCAACCCACCTCCAAATATTATTTATTTATTTATTTATTTTCATTATTTAATTCCATATAAATACTCCCAAATTTATCTTATTTATTTATAATAATAATAAGAGAAATCATATATGGACCAAATGAACAATGCTTCTTCTTTATTCCTCTGGGAAGACACAGCAGATTCTGAGGTGGATAGATCATTGTCTCATCCTCATCAACTCGAATCTGCTGTGGACGATCCGGAGGACGCTCGATCCTGCAGCTGCGATGATTATGCTACTGATCGGAGCGCCGTTGATCTCCAAGATGATGGGGATGGTGATGAAGATCGAGCTGTTGGTTCGACCGGTGACGACGCTCGATCAAGCCATCTCGATGAAACACGACCAAGCGGGGCAACGTTGGAGTATAGTTCTGAGGAGGACGAGGAAGAAGAAGAAGAGTCGAATAATAATGTGGGTGCGATCC